TCTGTGAATTACCGATCAGACGACTATACAGGTATCTACATATCTAGGACTGCGAAAGCATGTCACTAGTGAGTTGAGATACTCGCACATTGTATCAGTCAACCAATTTGTGATAGTGACCGTTTAGCTTGTGTAGTGTCGATTGCAGTCGTTCTTCATCATAACTCTGTTGGAGCAGTTTTATTGTAAGGAACACACCCCTATTAAATAAGTACATCTGAATAATGTTAACATGTACGAGCGTAATGTATTAATTGAAATAAGTAAACCATATAATGGAGCAGAAGGTATGTTACTGCTGAGAAATGGAAAATTGGCAATTGGAAAACTGAAATCATCACGTTTGTCACAGTCTAGTAAGGAGTTGCCTATCTATGTCAATATCATGGAAAAGATTAAGATATGAAGGAGACATTCTACTTTCGGTAGTATCTTTAATCTGAAGTTCACTGGTATATATGAGATGTAAGCACTCATTGAAATGTGGGTTATTGAGTGACAAAGCATGATCAATACATCTGAAAGGAAATTAAAGAACTTTGCAAGATGCGTTTTCTTTTGTCTTTGAAAATGTTCTGTTTGAATTCTGCTTTATATGAGTACAAAACAATTGAAGTGATACACAATTAATGCACATTAGAATAATGACTGTCTGCTATAATATCAATCCACCAAACTCAACTGCATTTTTATGATATTATCTTTGGTGTATTAGTTGTGGGAATCCGTGTGGTTATTCACAAAGTAAGATTGTTCATGACCTAATAGACGAAATTCTCATTTTTTTAAAAAGCTTTTAAGTGAGACGATATAGTCGAAATTTGATTGAGCATTGTAATAGTAGTGTATAGACGGTAGAAAAAATAAGTATCCCATTTAATATCTAAAAAAACCTTCACATTTTTTACTTAATTTTCGACAAGGCTAAGCTTTCTTTGATTCATTGGTTGCATCACTCCTATATAAACCTGCATAGTCTCACCTTGATACTTAATATATATGTTCCTTGATTTCCTGTTAATCATTGTGTTGTTTAAACTGGACGCTGTATCATGTGAAGGATTATTCATGGTTTAAAACTAGAAATTTGTATCAACATTTTTGTAGAAAAGGCTCTGTGTAATGAGATAATGTAGTCGATCTTTCAATTGAGCATGGGGAATAGTTTTAACCCAATTTATAGTGTAAACTATTGAACTGTAATCAAATTAAGACCCCACTAGAGATCTATATATAATGTTTTAAATTGCACTCAGTGTCAGTATTGTACATCTCTTTTGTTGAAGCATTAAAATGTCTTTTATTTGTTTTCTTTCTAGATTTGTTTTTTACATTTGTCCAAAATTACAGATGGGTATTGAGTTCTTTAATTGAGACGTCTTGTAAATAAAGCTTCGACTTGATGAAGTGGTAGAGGTTTTGATTTTAACTCGAATGTCGATGTTATATTTATTTTTAATTACATTATTGTCTTACACAACATTAGATAAAAACAGTTGACATGTGATTTTATTTGATATAAAGACATATTTATTTTAACTAAACATTTACTATTCAAATTATGCGTATGCTACGTGCAAGATTTAGTACTAATGCAAAATATGTTAAAATACAAAACAACATATCGTCACTTAAAATTCATTTATTTAGTAATTTTGAAATGAAAAGAAGTTCTATTTTACAGAACCTGATTTCATTAGATAGTTTTAAATTATTCACTCATTTAGATTCAAATCAGAAGTCTTCAAAGTGCTTCTTTATGCACGGACGCATTTTAATGTTTGTAATTTTTAGAAGTTCACCCTTTTTTAATTCTTTTTTTTTCATGTGCTGTATTTGCTGTATCTTCAAAGGTAGGACAATTTTATTAATTTTTCTTACACTTTTCTTTTTTTTAATTGTACAATTAGTTTTATATATCCAAGTAATTCCATGTTATTCATTATCAAGTAAGCTACACAGTCTTCATTATACAAATTACAACACCGTCCTTGTGAGGTCATTGATTACCACATAGGGCTTGTTGTACTGGCTGTTTTGATTGGATTTGTATTGGAAGAAAACCGGAAAAATCTGTAACAGTAAGCTCCATATACGAAATTAAATATTCCCATTTTACCTTACTACATATATATCATACCTTTTCAATATAACTTAACGACCATGAAGTATCTTGTTAAAAATATTACATCTAGAAATATTATCGTATGCAATTGAAATGAAGGCTCATTCTATATGTCAGTGGACAATTTTTCAATAAATGCTCTTCAAAGATACCAGGCTCTCAATTTTGTAAGCAATACTCACTCTCAGTGGCGATCATATTAAAACAGATGGAAGGGCAAATCAAATTCGAAGGTGCAAAATCTTTAAATAGAAAATAAAATGATATGGAGTAAATGTTCATGGGACAAAATCGCATACAATACATAGAAAACATAGAAAATTATCAATGAACAGGGCTTTTATTCCTGTTCTTCATCTTGACAAATGATGTAGGTCCTTCAACAATGAACGAATCAATATTAAAAGCAATATTAATCATAAGTAAAATAACAAAAATACCGAACTTAAAGGAAAATTCAAAACGGAAAGTCATTGATCAAATGGCAAAATCATTTCACGTCAACACAGAAGTGCAGACTACTAACACAGCTACTGTTGATCTTTGACATCACTGAGCAAAACACAATTACCGCCCAACTTTGCCATTACTGAGCATCAAACGTTCGTCCGGAAATGTGCTAGAATGATATTAAATTTAATGTGTCTGTCTAATATTTGTCACCACATATTTTTTGGTTTCATATCCATGGTCAAATATTTCAAGAATATTCAGAAATATCAGCCAATCAAGGACTAATACACTTCTGAGTAGGTCAGATTTGTAGAACGGAAGCAAAACAAGAGAGTTGTTATGCAATCTGTGAAAAATGACAGTGATCCTGAAACTTATACTGGTTTGAAAATGGCTTCATTTTGAACGCTGTTATCATTTTCAAAATCCTTGTAATTGAATAATAGATTGAAATGGTAATGTTTAATTAAACTAAAATGTGTGAAACCGTAATATATTGTACAACTAGATTTAATCCTAGCTAGGTTTCGTATATTTACTTGCGATGAATTTAGTTGCGTTCAGACATTTCGCTTGTATTAAATCAGTTTTGCTGTTAAGCTTAGGAACAAAATGGCTACCTAACACTTTGAAATTAATCTAAGCAGATTGGAGTTCATTATTGGTGAAGTGTCTAAACTATACCAAAGTTCCGCAAAAATACCAATAAATTGCAACGCTATTGTCTGAACAAATTGACTCTGTACCGAATTGCAGGTTAATTACCGAACTGCAGTGTCAACGTCTAAAATGAAATTGAATCTGTACCCAACTGCAGGCCAATGTTTAAAATTGACTGTACCGAGTTGAACCGTCAATGTATGAAAACGAATAACAAATGTGCTGCCTTCAAATAATTTCTTGTTCAGTTTTCAATTTAGTTCAGATAAAACAAATACAAAGCATTACTAGCGCACGTAATCAACTATTCTATATCAACACAACTTTATACAAAAGTGCAACATAAATAATTCAATAATCATTTTGCTATATGTCCCGAATTTAATTGTCTTTGCTTATAGAGTTTCCCCGTGCCATCCTTTAAAGATAATATCAATTTCTATCAAATGTCAGATCGTTAATGACCTGATAACAACATTGTTACAAAATGTACATTGTCGTTATCGTATGTTGAAAACAATATGTCATATTCACGGAAACAAGCTATTAGCCAAATCGTTAGACCAACACGTGTACGATCTACCATCATACGCTTAATATATTTCCTCGAGCGATGCCAAATTCAAAAATATTTTGCATACATGTTAAAAATGGATATATTGTGATAATATCAATGAACTAAGAGACACATGTCTGGCTCTAATAGTACACACATTCTTTGAAGATGAACATGAGTGAAGTTCGTTTAGTAAAGAATTGTAACTGTTACGATGATACTAGTGTGCAAACAAAGCTACCATACAATTGTTTGTTATGATTCCATTGTGTGAATCGTATCAAGGCATTTGAACCTGTAGCGATAGCAAGTTCAAAAGCATTCATTAAGAAGTTGTAATTTGTATCATTTAAACATCATTTGGGAATTTGGAAGCAAACACATGTTTTAATTTCTTAATTGGGATTTTCTTATAAAGTCTTTTCCACGTTAAATGCAGTATAATGATTTGAGAATGAAGTCTTTTTTAAACTTCATTTTTATACAAAGCTACTCTCCTGAGATTTAACTTTATGACCATAGTGCTCAATTTAAGTGCAAGAAAGCAACAATTACGAGAAAAGATTTTAAATTGAGTTATTGTTACCAATGAAAACACAGGATATAAATAAAGACAGAAACTGATACTCCATGCAGTGAAGATAATAGGTTCATATAGACAACACATCGATGAAGACAATCAGAATTGCATTTTTTCGCTACTTTTTATCTGTTCAATAAATTCTGTCGCAATAGAATTGACTTCAATAGCTCAATTAAAGTTATCAGGAATTAATTGTTCTGTGCAAAGAAGTCGTTACATGAAGTTGTATTTTCCAGTAAATGCGTCAGATAAAATTAAGGAATTATATTTAACGATTAACGCGACCTATAATCATGATTAGACTTCAAAAATGCCTTGTCAAAAAAAAGTTTTGATTTGTGATGAGGATATTTACTCTTTTCATTAAAAAAGCTATGTAAAGTTGAACCAATGGAAATTTCCGAGATTTCATCAGATAACTGCCACCTTCCTGTTAGAGTGGTAAGCTGTTTAACAATCTATAAAAGTAGTAGCAATTTAAAAAAAAATCCATTGAAAAGTAATAAAAATTAAAAGCACATATGAGGGAAACACCATCTGCAATTATGGATAATCAAGAAAATTGCTTTACGACATGCGATTTCTAATTTGCTTGTTCATTTAAAACTATGAAGCAATTATGCTATCTCTGAAATGACCAAATATCTTACATAAAATGAATTGCGGATTTCAAATAGTCATCAGTTGCTAAGAGCAACGGAAAATTATACAATGGCAATGTTTAGTGCTGATATCATTTGTTGCAAACCTTTGACAATTCTTCCACATACGAACCATCGAGACAAAACTGTTCATTTCACAATTAATTGTGGGTAATATCCAGTGTTATAGCAATAATGATGTAATATTGGTCAAGTAGATGAACCGTCGGGTATCATTTAATAGCAAACGACTTCTAAGAGTATTGATTTATTTACAGATATATTTGAAAGATTATTACTTAAATCTCAACGTGTTTAATTCGAAGATCCACAATTGTTTTTAGATAATCGTAATGATTATATGACATATCGGAGACAAATACAAAAACACCTGAGCTGGCCTCTGATTGATTTTTCTGCCGTATGACTATAATGTCAACTGTCTCAAAATTGTGTAATGAAATAGACATTTGGGATATGGCTGTGGAAAGACAATGTTGACATTAAGTTTAAACTTTAAATGAAAAACAGAGAGGATTGCAACAAGTAGTATTAGATGTTTCTTTTAGTATTACCTGTAGTAGATTAAGTGACGGATAATCATATCGACACTGATAGAGAGATGTTGGATTCTACCTGATTAATTCCACTGAATGGCTTTGGGAAAATAACAACCGTTTTCTTGGTTTAATAACAAACGGCTTTCCTGTGCAATTTTTAATCTCGTTATTCCGCTATTTTAAGCAAAGCAATGGAAGTTAACATCGTAGTCTTAATGTGTTTTTCATAAAGAAAGGAACCAAGGCTTAGAAATTACTATTAAGTGGAAATTTCATTTATTTTTATACATGTACTATCAAATTGTAGCTTTATTTTTTATCAGCGCCTTTTATTTGTGCCTTACTTAAGCTTTGCGTACAGTTTTATGATATTGTCACTAAATATCATGTATTGCGTTATCTTATTCTAAATGTTTGTTTGGAAGTTTGCAGTTCAAAATTAGATTCCTATTCAAAAAAGCTTAATGTCATATCACTGGAATCTATGGAAGGTTCGTCTTTACATGTTGACATAGCCATAGTAGTGTTTAAAAGACATGAACTACTTGCACTCATTTGGACGTGAAATAAAGAAGATTATTGATAAATACGTGTTTGATATAGGTGAGTGATTAATCTACTTAATCTTAATTAATTAATTTAGACACCATGGATGCATTGTTTGTTTTCTGCTTAATATCTAGGATCAACCATTACATGCATATTCAAGAAAAAACTGTTTGTTTAAAGGCAAGAATAAAGCAGACATATCTATTATTCTATGCGTTTTATTAACTGTACACGTGTATTTGTTTCCGTGGGTCGCAATGCAAATAATTTAATTTATGATTTATTTTAAAAAATGGAAATCTGGGCTCGATATTTCCGCGAATCACTCATTTAATTGAGTTATTTCTGCTGATTTTTCTGAGAATTAAGAACGGAAAACTGAATAATCTATATCCCCTGAAAGATCAAACGCAACAGTTAACAAGAAGAGTATAAAAGTGCTAGTTATTAGGTATTAAGTCAATTATAATCGAAAGATGTAATAATCTTTATACTTGTTACCATAAGTATAAAGATGTCGAAAAAATCGATTTTGATTTGTTGATATGAGGGATATATGTTTAAAGATGATATAGGAAGTCAAATATTTGATTCATTTAACATAGGCACGTCATGCTTAAAATTTAGCTTTACAATATTTTATCTGTGCACAACCATTTCGGTTCTTAGGTGTTACTCTATGAGAATGCCCAACTGCTTAACACATTTTTAATGTTAGTGATTAAGAGGTGCGTGCTCTTCTAAGTTTCATGTTACAAATGGGGTTAGTGAGATTAGGGGTGGCGTTTATAATGTTCATCAATTCTGCAATATGTACATCGATACTAATATTTTAAATGTAGGCCGACCGATTTTTTTTTTCATTTCCCATAGATAAAGCTATGTGCATGTTTATAGAAGAATTGTTTGTCTAGGAAGAAAATACTATTCATTTATATAAGTACTATACTATTCAAGTAGAAAATCCATGTTTTTATTCTTTACTCTATTTTAATACAAAAGAAACAGTTTCTGTAGTGAAAATCATACTACCCGAAGGTCTTCTTAGCTTACATTTTTTTTTCTCTTAATTTTGAAAATTTGCTATTTTAATACGATTTACATAAAAGCCTGCTAAAAGTGGGGATTACTCTGACAAAATTTGTGATAAAGAAACCTAATTAACAATAAATGTCAACGTTACAGTCGTTATTTAGAACAAAATTTAGGTCTACGAACCTTCACCACCTACTGGATCAGTGTAAAACAGCTCAAGTTCATGTTTACGGAGCTTAATTTTATCCGTTTAAATGAACGCTACAAAAACCGTAATGAAGTTTTATAAAGATAGATATTTTCATATACCAAGGATTGAAATTCAATAAATGTTATCAATAATTAACCAAATGAATGTAGATTATCAGTAATGATTAGATATATTTATCTAAATAATTAAGAAATTCAAATTAGGAAGATAAATAATTAATAAACACGCAATAAAATCTAACCACTAAATGTGTAACTTTGGATAAAATAGGGAATGGTACATTGATATATCTACCACAAGACCATCATAAAGGAAAAATCATTATTTGGCATTCATTGTTCTTTTGGGAACCATCAGGTTTCATGTTTTCACGTAATTCATAAACCTTATACATATTTCATTACACGTTCTATAATGCAATCATAGTCCAAAGAAATTACAACCCTCCAGTGGTCTCATGGTAGCTTTCGTGGCCACAGTATGCTGAAATGTCTAATAAAAAATTGGTATCTTTGCTGCCTATCCGACAAATATGGCATTTATGAGTAAGAATAAATCCTATTAGCGTTTCAAAGGGGACTAAAATTTCGTTAAATTGTTTTCATTAATTTTTAGCTGACTTTATAAACATAAACGACAGTTGACAAACTTTTCATATCATGATTTGTTTTTTTAATCTTTTAAAATGGCAAAAATACGTTTATTGTGATCATATTAAGGGTTCTTTTTTCCCATTGTAACGACATACAACAACTAACAACCATAAGTGATGACGTAACGTATAATTTCTTTAATAGCAGATTACAAAAATAAAACATCTTATCTTCTCTTATTCCATTAAAAATCAAATTATACAACGAGAATTCGTGCGATGCGACATTTGTTATCTCGATAAGATCATTAATACCTTTTAAGGGGGTAGACCTGGGTATTGAAGACAACTCTTACAAATGTATTTGAAGTCATTTGTGCGTTTTAACCAAGCAGTAATTGAAACAAGGATCAAGAGATATAAGAAGATGTGGTATGAGTGCCAATGAGACAACTCTCCATCCAAGTCACAATTTATAAAAGTAAACCATTATAGGTCAAAGTACGGTCTTCAACACGGAGGCTTGGCTCACATCGCACAGCAAGCTATAAAGGGCCCCAAAAATTACTAGTGTAAAACCATTCAAACGGGAAAACCAACGGTTTAATCTATATAAAAAACGAGAAACGAGAAACATTTATGAACCACATCAACAAACGACAACTACTGAACATCAGATTCCTGACTTTAATAAAAAAAAAACACCTATGTACTGAGGAGTTTTTGGAACAACTTTAGTTTCTTGTGACATCATTTAGATAAAATCTTGAAAGGTTTTAGAAAAAATGAATTTGAAAAAAATGGGTTGAACAATGAAGTTAATATGTTTTAGTGCTAAGCTATTGGTAACTAGGCTGTACGTAGCTGTGTGTCTTTGGTTTTTAAATATAAACGGCAATATTCTAGAAGATATGATCTGAACATCCATCCTAGTACAAGCTAATGCTAACAGATAATCTACATGAGCGCAAAGATAGTACTTAGATAGTGAAAGACTGTCGAAAACTTGAATTTTAATAGCGTCTGCTTACTGGTGCCAGGGGCATTTTGTAGTCTGGGGAGAGAAACCAATATATAATGTTGGTATGTAATTTCGTCCCAAGGGTATTCGCCCCATACTGAGTATTTCTGTTTTTCCTTATAAACTTGACTACAATTATTATTGGGACAATACAATTTTCACTTAAGCTCATATAAAGAATGCAAAGAGAGACTGCAGAATGTTTTGTGGGGGAGGGGGGGGATTTCTTTTCCAAAACATTTCCTTTTTTCTTGTGCCTGTGAGTCAACTTGTTTAAAAATTTGGAAAATTCCAAACGGTAAAATTCAAAAAATGTATGTTTTTTAATTTTAGTTCATTTATATGTTTTGGGGTTTAGTGTGACGTCCATTTTCATTGAACTAGTACACATTTTGTTTAGGGGCCAGCTGAAGCCCGCCTCCGGGTGCGGGATTTTCTCGCTGTGTTGAAGACACATTGGTGGCCGTCGGCTGTTTTCTGCTGTTTGGTCGGGTTGTTGTCCTTTTGACACATTCCCCATTTCCATTCTCAATTTTATTGTTATTTTCAAGGCTTATAACCAGCATTTGTTATAGCAATTTTTTGCTGGAATTAAACGACAATTTCTTTTCTGGCAAAGTTTGAAAAAATAAATGTGTTATCTTAGCCGGCCAAAGTTTTCGACTTATCAATAAATTTTAAACCATTTATTTACACTCAGGCTACAAATATTACCATGATATTTCAGATTTACTTTAAAATATGTTTCTACTACGCATTTTAACAGTCATGAGTATTCCTAATGAGAACATATGCAAAAACACACAGTAATATATACCTATACTAGTATTTTCGGCCGTTTTTTATGGTACCCCCAAAACTTGTCATATTCAATATATCCTAAACATAAAATGCAGATGATGCATTGACCCCTACTTTCTCGATGATGTAAATATAAGAAAAATTAAACGAGAGGGAAATTTTGGGGATACCAAGGCCTACCCCTTAAAACTCAATTTTTTTTAAATTGTATAAAAGAAATATTTCGATAGGAGAAAAATGGTCTCACATGATGCAGTGATTCCTCTCCCAAACCCATGTTTTAACTATAACGAGCCCTTATTGACATTTACAAGAATTTAAGAGAACTCGCGAATTAAAACCGCCTCTGTCGGTGGTCTTGTGGTAGCGTTATCGCCTAGAGGGCAGGGTTCATGGATTCAATACCCGACCAGGTCAAACAAAGAAATTGAACATTGGTATTTACTGCTTCTTCATTAAATACGCGGCGTTCAAAGGTACGAGCAAAGACTAGTTGGCACGGAGTCAGAATAATGTGTCCGGGTATTGTGGCATGTCTTCTTGCAGACTGTAACCTACCTTGTGAATTAGCCGACGCAGCGTATCAGTATAGTACATCGAAGGTTTTATATTTTCCTGTCCTGATATGCAAGTTATACTTACCCTTGGACTGTAAACATCAAGCAATTAAAATCTAAATGCTGTGAAATTGTTTCTTGTTTGTTCTGACTGGTTTGTTACTAATACATTCTACAGTTAAACACGTCGATAAACTTTTGATAAAACTTTATTGGTTGCATGAATAGTGTACATCAAACCTATATGTAATTTATCGGATGATCTTTTTTCATCTACACATACCGTTGGAATGCTTGCAGGAATACCTGCTAGGTGATTTGTTTGAAGTTCAATCTATGAATAATTAGGAAGGAGTCTGTGCACGCAACATATATGTTAGGGGATTGTATTATAGGGATGGGCTGTGAAAGTGACGGCAAAAATCAATAAATCTAGCTCTCAAATTTTTTTGCAGTAAATATCATTGCCCTCAAAAAGTGAAAAAGATAATCGAACATTTTACAACATTGTATATTTTTTTTTAATTTTGTATTGTTTTTAAGCATATTTTTTGTCTACTATGTCGACCAAGAATTTTAAAACATTATTGATAGCATGTGAAAAGCAACACCTTTCAGAATATTATACTTCATGGTATATTAGTTTGTTATTCATCCTTAGGTTTCCATTCAGTCAGAATTCGATGTTTACGTTGAAAATGTAATACCCATCATTTATTTAAAAACCTACGTTTGGTATATTAACCTCCTTGATTTACATAAGATTAGATTCTAAAGCGACCAGAGTGGTCAGGTGAAATGTCGAATGACGAACACTGTCATGCTATTGGCATACTT